GGGGGCGTGGGGGGGGGGGGGGGGGGGGGGGGGGGGGGGGGGGGTGGGGTGGTGTGGTGATCAGAGGGTCAGACCGCATCCCACCTGGGGACATCCCCCGCATCCCTCCTGGGAACATTTCCGCACCAATAGGTGCTAGTCCCTTGATGCTTGCGCCTCCCTCGGGCTTCTGTTTTTTAGGGCCCACCCTTTCACCCCGAGACTACGCTGGTCATCCTAAACGAGTAGTTTGGGGTGAAAGGGTGGAGGGGCCGTTTGCATCTTCAGAGCAGCCCTAACGTACTTTTATGGGGGGGGCTAAGCCTGCAGAAATGAACAAGGGCTTCTTTAAAGCTCCAGGTGCCCCCCGCGGCCAGGACATACCTCCCACCACCCCAAAGCCAGGGCGGCCTATTTCCCTATTTCTAGGACCAGGGCGTCCCCACCTCCCCCTCCCTGGGATCAAGGCATCCCTCCCCGGGGCCAGGGCATCCTTTCCCACCGGGACCAGCATACCAACACTGTCCCGGGGCCCATGTCATGCCCCCAGAGAATCAGCCCCACATTTCCATCCACTATCGAGCTCCTGTGCTGGAGCCAGCCCCGATGGGATGTGTTGTCGCTGGCGGGGGTCTCCTCCTTGATCAAAGCCAGGGGAGTATTTTCAGCCACTCCCCAAAATCATCAGCAGCTTTTTTGAGAAGGGCAGAAGTGGTGGGGTGCCTTCATCCTCCTTCTCCAGCCTGGAATAAAGGCAGTTTCCAGCTGGTCATGTGGCTTTTGCCAACTCCTCTTAGCTAAGGAATGACTTTGAAGGAGAGCCAGAGCTGGCAGGGAGTGGGGGGCCCCAGGTGCCAGGGCTGCTGGGATACCTGGGGGCCATGGGATGGGTGTTCCAGGCCTGGAAATCTGGGAACACACAATGGAGCATCCTGGTCCCTGTCAGCACATGCTGGTCACTGCCATGGATCCTCTTCCCAGTGGGGAAGGGAGAGGCAGCTCCAGCCAGGAGGGAGCAGCAGGAATTTTGTTTGTCTGCTTGGAGAGACTGTGGTTAAGGAATGCAGAGACGGGGGAGATGTGTCCCTCAGGAATGACAGGGGGTCTCTGGGATTGGCTTAGTAAAGCTCCAGCAAGCATGAGAGAGAGCTGGGAATCATGACTGCTGCTATATGTGCCATGGAGGGCACAGGGCTGAGCCCCCCATACCACTAGAGGCTCTGGGGAGGGGGCCAAACCCTTGCCAGACCTTTGGCATCCTCCTGGTCCCAACATGAGGGGAGGAGGGAAATCCAAGCAAACCAGCTCCATGCTATCCTTAGAGCCCCAACAGGGAGATAGCATGAGGCAAAGGGGATAATCGGTGGCAGGTTTGGGGATCACTGGGGGATCTCTGACCAAACTGAGCTATGGCCTTTCCTGTCAGCACCCCACATACTGGCTGGTGGCTTGGTGAGCAGGAGGGAGCAAAGGATGTCTTACTCCAGTGCCTGCTGGTTAGGAAGGGATGGCTGTATCCCACCAGGACCTTGGGACACAGCATGGCCTCATGCACCCGAGACAGGAGCAGGTCTCAAATCGCAGGCAGGGGTGAGTAGGGAAAGGACTGGAAGTTGCTGTTGAACATTGAGAAGACATCCTGATGTTGGCCAGAGCTACTTTGTGCCTCAGTTGACCTCCTAAGATTAAAGAGGGCTCTCCCCTCTCAGGGGTTTTTGGGATTTCAGGATCCTTGGGGCAACTGTGGAGACAGAACCTGAGGTCCCTGCAGTGGGCTTGGAAGGTTGAATCCAGCCCTTGGTGGTTGGTGTTGGGTGCTATATGCATGTCAGAGGGGACTGGGCACTTCTGTGCTGGGGCAGGATGACATGGCAGAGGCTGCTGGCAGATGAGCTCCCAGTTCACCCTGTCCTCCAGAACAGTGCCATATACTCCTCCTGGCCTGGCAGCTTGGCAGCCTGGCTCTGCACCCGTGGTGGCTCCTTCGCCGGGTAGCACGAGCTGGCAGCAGTGGGGGAGGTAGAAGAATGGCCTCCATTGAGCATCCTGCCTGAGGTCCCCAGGCTGCAAACCCAGCTAGCTGTGGTGCAGGTGTGCATTCATCCCTTCCTCCGTCCCATGGGGAATTCCTCCTACTCTGCCCTGTTGTGACAGTGTCCTCAGCTGCCCCTGACCAGAAGCCCTTGAGCTGGGCCTGGGGGATGATGGGTGCCATTGGGGGCTCCA